TCCCAGGGGTCCTCCCCCTCCCCACCCAAGGCCCACCTAAGGGCTGCTTCTTCCGAACTATAGAACCAGAGGATTATGCAAATCTGCAGCTCCAGGAAAGCCGCATTTACCCAGGGCCCTGCGGGGCGCTGTGTGTGCTCCGCACCTGGGTCTCGCTGCCTTCGCGGAAGATTGTTTCAGTGTCATCACCACCTCTAGTGGACAAGAGCGAGCACCGCGGCTCACGGCCCTTTGTTCCAGCTCTCAGCTATGGAGCCCTTGAGGGGTGGGGGCGGGGGAGAGGACAGCCAGCAGGACAGCAGTGCTGAGGGTGGGCTTGGACACCTGCTTCCCTGCTCTCCCACTCACTCCCGCTTCCCTCTCTCTGATTCCACGAGGATGTGATGGGTTGTCAGAGTGAATCCTGCTTCAAGGTGTTCACTCCTCCACTGTAGAAATCTCTCCTCTGGCTACTAGTGACTGCTGTATCCCTGCAGGGCTGTCTCAAATGCCGCCTCCTCCGGGAAGCCTTCACTGGGCAGCCCAGGTGGGAATTAAACACACCCACCTGTATACCTGTGCACATTCAGATATCCCCCTGTCTGAGCACTCGTCACACAGCAGGGATAATGGAAGCTCACCTGCAAATCTCTCACTAAGCTGCCAGTGGTGGGGTGGAAACCTCAGCCCGTTGCTCTGTGTGCAGCACCCAGCCTAGGGTCCACCGCACACAGAGCACTATGGACCGAAGGTCTGTGTCACTCTCCCATCTCCAGCATGATGCAACTTGGAGTGGAGCCCTGGAGAAGCAACAAGGTTTCGGTGGTGTCACAAGAGCAGAGTCTCCACGCTGGGACCAGCAACAGCCGGGAGATCACAGTTACTGTGCCTCTCAGCCACGGGCACGGTGTCAGCTACAAAGGGGCCCCTTGCACCCCAGGCAAAGGACCCTCACCAGACACAGAATCTTGTGGCACCTTGAACTTGGCTCAAGGAAGGGCATCCGCGCCAGAAAAGTACAATTTCACTCCTGCCCCAGGCGGCGTATACGAGGGCACTTCAAAGAGTTGGTAGAAAATTGAATTAAAAGATGTCTGTTTTGGTGCAAAAATTTTGCAGTCCATGCATCATGTTCCCTGTTTTTTTTTTTTTTTAAATTACTTATTTGGTTTTTAGTTTATTTGGAAGGGGGGAGAAGAGAGAAAGAGAGAGAGAGAGACAGAGAAATGTCTCCCACTTGCTGATCCATCCATTCCCCAAGTGCCTGGCTAGGAAAAAGCCAGGAGGAGCCTGGAACTCATTCCATGCCTCACACGTGGGTGGCCATCACCGCCGCCTCCCATGGTGCTCATTAGCAGGAAGCTGGATCAGAAATAGAGAAGCTGCGACTGGGACCAGGCTCTCTTCTCTGGGGTGAAGGCATCCGAACGGTATCAGAAGCACTGCACCAAAAGCCCACCCTGCTTAGCTTTTTTATAAGACATGTTTTCCATGAACTTTTTGAAGACCCATTATAGGTAACCAAGGCTACCTACTCCCCATCTCCATTCCTTCTTTGTCCTAATTTATCCCAATATTTATGCTAAAGGGAGATTCACTCCACCTTCAAGGATTTACTCTCTTGGAGCCTGCTAATAGATGCAGTTTGCACTTTGAAAAGTAGAGGAAGAGGGCATCAGCGTTACTTGAGCACCTACTCACCAGTGCCTTGACATGCATTACATAATCTTTGAAAACATCATTGCAAGGGGCACCACCAGCCTCCTTTCTCCTGCCCCCATCCCACAGACAGTACAATAGAGGCTCAGAGAAGATGGCCCCATTGAAGGTTGTATATATATAAACGAACTCAGCTCTGAGATTGCTCTAATTGCAAACCCACAATATGTCTTTTCTTGAACCTTGTAAAGTGCCAATGCCGAGCTCAGCCAAACTTCCCTGAATAGCCTTGCCACAGCTTCAGCGTTTAACAACTTGGCTTCAGGAAGGAAACCACAAAAGGGCAGTTGGACTCTATATTCTAGCGATGCCTTTCTTCTGCCGTCTTTACACCTTGTATTCTCTTTTGTTGCATGTGCCAAGAATCACCAATGATTTCTCTCTGACTCTGGGTGGTGAGTGGAATGGAGGATGGCAGCGACGGTGGTGAGGCCACCTCTAGGTTGAATGACAGCTCCGTTCTGCTAACCTTTGCCACTGTACATGCCTGGTGGTTCCACACAATGAATTCTACCTCTCTTCTGCCCTTCTGCCCTTCATTTTAGCTGTGAGCACCCCTAGTGGAACTCTGTACCATGGTCATGTTGCAGGCATTGTGGTCCAAAAATAGGAGGGTGCAGTCAGCTGAGTCCTTTTGAAGAGTTTGCAGGAATGGACTTGTGAGCAGAAACGAGAAAAGAAGTCAAACATCCTTTTGCTTTGGAAGAGGAAGGAAAGGTTTTCCCTAAAGCCCACCTGAGCCATATAAGCACAGAACAATCCCTCAAGCTTGGAGAGAAAGTGGCCCCTGGCAGGGGTGACCAAAACTCCATGCAAAAGAACAGCAACCCATAACGAAAATGGTCTTTAAGTGAATTGAATCACAACGCCCATTAGAGACTAAGGGAAGCAGCGAATTCAAGTCTTGTCGAGTAATATTGAATTTGCTTTATTAATTCAAGAGAAAAAGAAAAGAAATTATGGGCAAACTCTGCAATCCTAGCACGTAGCCACAATTATTCCCCATGTGCATATCTTAGACAATGAGGAGCCTCTTCAAAAACAAGTTACACTTTATACTTATTCATGCCTTACAGCAAAATGGCCCAGAGAATCACGTGACCTGCATATAAATGTAGCAACAAGTCCCTTTCAAGTATTCACACATCCCCTCACTCCACCACAAACAGGACTAGCTTGCAGCACGGAATGAGGTGCCTGGTTCTCCAGCTGACATTCGTGGGTACCAAGCTCCAAGGGAAAAAGAGAATTTATTGTGGAAGGTCAATTGTTTCCAAGGGCACCATCAGAATTGGCAATGCTCGTCGGCTGCCCCCGTTCCCTCATTATGACTCAGAGTCTTGGAGTCAGAACCACATGCGTATTAATGAGCCTTCCCCAGGACTGCATCAGTTGACTTTAATTTGGTGGTGACCAGAAGTTAATTAAAAATATATGCTGGCAAGCCATAGTGTCAAGCACTTGGAAAAAATAAGATGAAATGTCTTCAAAATCAAACACACACGCAGAGACATACGCACCCTCTCCACACACATACCCCGAAGGAAGCCAGGATGCAATCCTTGTCTATGCAGGCTATTAAGACATTTTTCCTGAAGGGTGGTGTATTGAAGAATGCACTCCCTTGGGGGGGGGGTGGAGGATCACTTTAGCGAAGCCAGCAAGCCACTGGGTAGCTTTGGGTTGTTTTTTGTTGTTTTTGTTGTTATTGTTTTGTGTGTGTTAGTCACAACACAGATTCAAAGGGGGTGGGGTGGGGGAAGGGGACCTGGACCCAGTTCAAGGCCACCCAGCCATTGTTGCAGAGAGACAGCCAATCAAGAAAGGGCGTGCTGCGGTGGAAACGCTTCCCTATCTTTCCTGGAGAAACTGTCCAGGCTTGGTGTAAATTGTGAACATCACAGTCTCATAAAAGGGGGGAGGTGTTTCTTTAATGATAGGCTTTGCTAAACAAAAGGTGCTCAATTATTTCCTTTACTCTGCACTCTGAGCTCCAAGCTGAAAGAGAAGGGGTGGGAGATCAAATGCCTGATTTATGCTGAGGAGGGCACCCCGGGCTGTGCGTGAGAGTTGAAGGGAAAGGGGACACAGCTTGGGCTCCACGGAGCTGAGAGCTGTCCGCGGCCTTCGGTGCTGAAAGCAGGTGCAGGCACTGGGGGTCCTGAACTCCCCAGAGAAGACCGGCCCCCATCAGTCCTCAGGTGCTGGGGGAGAAAGAGGTGTACATGACCGTGACCAGCCTCCGGACAAGCAGGGTGCGCGCCCCCCGTGGCCAGACCCTGCAGCCACCTGCCGTTCCTTGTGAGAAGGTGAGGTCCTGTGCTCTCACCAGGTTCCCTGGGGCTCTCAGAGTTTCCTGCTGGCCTGGCCAAACCCTCAGGGCTCTGCTCCTGAGGTTAGCTTGGGGTGAGTTAGGCGTTGCCCTTTCCTTTCCAGCTCCTTCCCTCCTCCTGTGACAACTTTTCCTGGGGGACCTCGGCCCTGTGGGAAAACTGCAGCTCTGGGTCCTGAAAACAGTGGCTGCCTCTCTCCTCTAAACTTGGACCCCCCCCCCTTCTCACCCAGGAAGCACGTGGTGGGTGAAACCAGCACCCTCCCCCTTCCCAGCAGTGATCAGAGATGCTAGGCTGTGCGTGTGGGGAGGGGACTCCACTCCTGTGCCTGACTCCCACCTGACCTCCCTTGTGCCTCCTCTTCCAAGTCCTGGGGTCGCAAAGTCCCCTCCCCTCAGCTTCCAGCGAAAGCCACACCCAAGTCCAGTTCCTAACGCTTGGGTGGGTTCCATCCAGGAGCCTGGCCTCTTGGGGCAGCCTGAACCCACGAAAGCGAGGGGGTCCCGGAGAGCGAGGGAGCGGTTCCAAGACGCCCCCCAGGCGCCCTACCGGAGTCTTGTCCTGCGCCGCTGTCCCCCACCCCCCACTCCGTTCCTGCCCTCTCTCCGCGAAAGAGGGAGTGCGTTATCTGGCACCCAGCCCTGGGTGCGGTTGCAGATAGCTCCGGGAATCTGGGGTTTGGGGAAGCGAAGGAGAGACAACCCCGCGGCCGGAGAAGACAGAAAGAGAGCCCGCACCCGCAGCCCAAGCAGGGAAGCGCCCCAGCCGTTCAGACACATACCCGCCTCCACACTCCCGTCAGCTCGGGCCGAGGGGATGCGGTTCCCAGCCCTGAATTCGGGCAGCCGTCTCGGCGCGTCCCATCACGGCTGGTGAGGCGTGGATCGTGCGGGTCCGCCGCGACCCCAGGCCGCCCCGCACTCGCGGCAACTTTGCCCCCTCCCGGCCCCGCTCCTCCGGGGCGCTTACCTCGCGCCAGAGCTGCGGCCGGGCTTCCCAGGAGCAAAGCGAGGAACAGCGAGATCCCGCGGAGTCCCGCGGCGGGCGGCCGGGCCGCGGGCATCGTGGCTGCTGGGGACGCGCGGGGCCGCGGGCTGCGGGGCGGGCGGACGGCGCGGGAGCCGGGGGCCGAGGGAGAGACGCAGCGGGCGAGCGAGGCAAGGCAGGAGCGACGGAGCGGGCCGCGGGCCAGGGCAGCTTCTGGAGCACCCGGGCGGACGCGCGCTCAGCCCCGCGATCCCTCTGGCCGAGCTGCGCCGGGCGCGGGCGGGCGAGTGAGGAGGAGCCGGCGAGCGAGCGAGCGAGCGAGCGAGCGTGGAGCGAGCGGGAGGAGGGAGGGGGCTGGGGCCGAGTCTGTGCCGAGCGAGTGCAGGGAGGGAGGGGGCGGGCAGCGAGGTTCAGGGGCCGCCGCGGCGCCAGGGGTGCCAGCCTCCGCCTCTGGCCGCCGGCCCGTCTGCCCTGTAAAGTTTAACGCCAATCCCCGTTGCGTCCCTGCGGGGCCGAGCGGTTCCCCTGCCCGCTGGTGCGCACAGCAGCCCTGCCCGGCGCTGCGAGGCCAGGGAGCGAGCGCCCTGACCGTTTTGCAGGAGGTGAGATGGAGCGCTCAGAACCGACCGAGCCCAGCGCAGCCCGCGGCTTTGCCCAGCCTTCCAGACTCATCCCAGCTGCAGTTCTCAAAGGGCCGGGGGTGGGGGACCCGAGCTGCCCCCGCCCTCCGCCAGTGCCCAGGGGTTTGTACAACGAGGCCCTGTAACCTAGAAAGTCTCCAGTTCAGTGAATCCGGCGAGAGCTGTGAATCTCGCTAGAAGCAATTGTGTATCCAGTGACCTGCGGTTCTGGGCCCCTCTGAAAGTGAAGCCTCCGATGCATGGATGCATCCCTGTTCTAACTGGAGCTCCCCCTGCCTCATCCTGCAGCCTGCCCAGCCCCCTTAGCCCCCCTGAGCTGGACTCCAAGGCCCACCCTCTGCTGTCCTGCCTAGCTTTGATTATCAAGCCAGTTGCTCTTTGTCCACAAATAGAGGTGATGGTACAGACAAGCAGCTACCTGGGGACAGGCCTTGGCCAAGGGGTGAGGAGGGGATGAGCTTGGACACGTTCCGGAGTCTGACCGCCTTGCCCAGATCCAGCAGGCTCCCTCAGCCTCTCACCCCAACTTAGACACCTTCTGCTTCCCTGGGCCCACCTTGCCACACTCTCTCCATACTGCAGAGGGCGCAGATGGAGAGAAGGCTGCAGGCAGCAATGGGGTGAGGCAAGGAGTCTCTAGGAAGAACCACTGAGGGAGGGCAGCGCTGAGGGAGGGGGGAGGACAGGAGCGGGGAGGGAGGTTGACCCAGGGTGCGGAAGACCCTCCACATGCTGCTTCCCATCCTTCCATCCATCTATTTGTCCATCCATCCACCCACCCATCCATCCGTCCATCTATTTGTCTATCCATCCATCTACCCATCCATCCACCCACCCATCCACCCACCCATCCACTCACCCATCCATCCATCCATCCACCCATCCATCCACCCATCCACCCACCCATCCAACCACGCAGTGTCCTTGCACAGACCACTCACTATAGGTCTGATTTGTGTCAGGCTCCGGGAGACAGAGAATCATCAATCAAATCCTATCCTAGGCTGGAGAAAGCCACTTTGTTGTTCTAAGCGGGGAGACTGAGGCAGGGAGTGGGCAAGGGCTGGCTTCTCCACTGCTTTGCTGTGTTAGCCTGCCGGCTCTGTCAGGACTGACCTTGCTTGGGGTGCAGTGAGTGCTCAGCCATGCTTGCTGAATGACACAGAGAGAAGCAAAGAGGATGAAGGCAAAGGGGGAAGAGAGAAAGTGAGTGACAGAAACACAGAGACAGACTCCAAGCGCGCGACCATTTGTGGGCATCTCCAAGAGTGCCCACTTCCTCGATTTCATAGCGATCACAGCTGTCGGGTGTGGCAACCTCCATCTGACAGGTAAGTTCCTGAGCCCTACAGAGCATCCCTGTCCAGTGGGGGCCGCTCAGCCAGGAAGTGGTGGGAGGCAGCAGAGTAGAGGCCAGCTCTGGGTCCAGAGTCGGAGCCATTTCCTCCACCACGCCGCTTCCCTGGGAATCCCGCGGTCGCCTCTGTGGTTGACCGGGTGGAAATCCCCTGGCTTCCACAGTTCCTGATGAGCAGCAGGGCACAAAGACTTCTTTCGGGCAGAGTGTTGGGAGGTCATTGCTTGCATGCAAGTGTCTATGGTAGAAGTGACATCACAAGCCGTCAGTCCATGGAATTCATGGGCAAGGATTTATTTACTGTTTGCAGACAGAGAGATGCATGAAGGAAAGCACAGAGACAATGGGGTCACACTGGAGAATCTGAAAGTATGATGTTGGGAATGTAAGGGGATTTTCTAGGAGAAATACCAGGACTTTTTTTTTTCTGTTCTCAAAATATCACAATGGGAACAGAATTCTGCGAGGGACCAGAGCAGGCTGCAGATGCAAATCTTTCCCTTTCACAACTGAGGTACCCATTTTACAGATGGGGAAATAGGTTCCAGGGGAGGGCAAAGTGATTTGCTCAACAACATATACTTGGTCTACCTTTTGCCTAGGCTTGTGCTCTCTCCATCACCACCAGGCACGTACTTCTGGGCTAGGTTCTTGCATCCTGGTGGACTTCCTGTTTCCCAGCGCTGCCCTGGGGTAAGATTCCAGCTTTCCTGTGGAGGAGATGATGCTTGCCCGCTATTCTGTCCACCTATGTTGCTGTGCCATGCACTGGCCCTGATGCTGAATTAGTTAAAATTAGTCCAGTGGAGACAAAGGGTCAGAACCAGCCTGCCTCACCTTTTCCTTGTAGGATGACAAGGACAAGTCACTTAACCTCTCGGAGCTTTATTCTCCTCTTCAGAGGAGCAGGGATAAAAATAACAGTTTTCAAGTGCAGTGATTGACAAAAGTGGATAACGTCCTTGTGGCACGAGGGAATTCAACAGCCCTTGTTTCCGAGGGTTATGGAGAGGATACCATGAATGGATGGATGAAGGCATTTAGCCCAGGCTTTGGCACACGGTCAGAGCAATTATCACTGTGCTTGTAACTCCTTAGACGGTAAGGAAGACAATTCCGTTCTCAGTGTTTGCTGTGGTGGGAGGATTAGCACTGCCACAAGGGTCCTGAGTTCTGATGTCTCCTCTGTCGATTTCTTATGTGATCCTCAGTGAGGCCCCAGGCTCCCTGCATTCTGTTTCCCTGTTTACCTACCCATACATGTCCCCTTTCCTTTTCTGTCCTCTCCTTCCTTCCACCTTCTTTCCAGCCTACCATCCATGCATGCATCCATCCATCCACCCATTGACTCCTCCATCTATCTATCCATCTACTCACAAATGTCGTGTAAGCACCTGCTGCTTGTTGAGTAGTGCTATGGACAGACTCCATCTCTTGCACTCTCGGGCTGACAATCTGATGAAATCTGTCAACATAAGGACCCAAATCCCTTTCAAGATTAATGTTCTCTGTCAACGGAGGCAGAAGGGAAAAGTGGTTGAAAGCCTGGCCTTTGGGGCTGGTGGCATTGTGGTGGAGCAGGTTAAGCCTCCACCTGTGACACTGGCATTTCATATGGGTACCGGTTTGAGTCTCGGCTGCTCCTCTTTCAATCCAACTTCCTGCTGATGTGCCTGGGAAAGCAGTGGAAGATGGTTTGAATATTTGGGCCCCTGTACCCATGTGGGAGTCCTGGATGGAGTTCTAGACTCTTGGCTTTGGCCTGGCTCAGCTCTAGCTTTTGTGGCTACTTGGAGAGTGAAACAGTGGATGAAAGATCTCTTTTGGTCTCTATCTTTCTCTCTGTAACTCTGCTTTTCAAATACTTAAATAAATCTTCTTTAAAAAAATAAAAAGTGTGGCTTTGGAAATCTGACAGATTGCAATTTGAACAGTTTCTCATACTAACAGCTGTATGATCTTGAATCACTGACTTAACCCTCTCAAAACTGTTTCAGTAAGAAGCTATCATTTAAGTGAGATGAATGTCACAAAACACTTGGGATTGTGTGCATAATAGAAACCTTTTGTCCATTTGTTCATCCATCTATCTATCTATTCATCCATCCACTCACCCACCCATCCATCCACCCATCCACATATCCAACCATCCATCAATCCATTCTTTTTTCAACAAATATGTTTTGGGTAGCGACTATGTGCCAGACCCTGTTCTGGATTCTGGAGACACATCAGTGAATACGACAGAAAAAAAAATTCTGCTCTCTAGGGCTTACCTTGTACAGCTGAGCACTAAGCAGTAGAATGTTTAACACATAAGAATTCTGGAGAACTCTAAATTCTATGAGGACAATGAAGCAAGATATTTCAGAGCAAAGAAGGCAAGTTCTTGTTGACTGATTGGGGGTGGCCTCCCAGAATGGGAGACATTTAAGCAGAGAAGTTCATGATGAGAGGGAGACAGCAGGGTGCAGGCTGGAGCAGAGCCCATTTTGTGTAGAAGACATGCAAGGCGTGCAGGATCCTGGGACTGGAACACGGGAGCTGCAATGAAGGGTAGTGGCTGTCATGTGTCTGTGATCCGTTTCCATTGTAATATGTATTTACTTGTTTACTTTTAGTTTTTGAAAGGCAGAGAGACAGAGAGCAAGAGATCTTCCATTTCCTGAAGGTTCACTTCCCACAACAGCCAGGGCTGGGCCAGACAAAGCCAGGAGCCTAGAACGCCATCTGGATCTCCCACAAGGCTGGCAGGGGCCCATGCATTTGAGCCACCACCTTCTGCCCTCCAGGGGGCACACTGACAGCAATTTGGGATGGAAGCAGAGGTGGAACTCATACACAGGCACTCGGCTATGGGATTTGGGCACCCCAGGTGACGTTAGCTTTGGTGCCAAGCTCCTGCCCTGTGATCCTATTTCTTTGTCTACACAGATCCTAATTAATCAGGGGTTTGATTCTGAGTTATCAGACGGTGCCTCCTCTCCCCATCAAAGCCTGGCTTTCATACACACACCTGCCCCATCCTAACCCATCATCTCATATCCCTCTCAGGAGCATCTGCTTGTTGGACAGATTTTAATCACTAGGAGAAAAGTGAAAGGTAAAAAATGTCTTGTCTTGGAGTAAAAATGAAACATAAAAGACATCTTCAAGATAAGAGAAGGAAAAAGAAAGATTTAAAAAACTCCTCCAGTATAGTACAACCCTGGAGACAAACACTCCAGGGGAACACAGCGTATCCAGTCAGTGTCTCCATTTTCTGCTTTTAACCTGGGCTTCATAACTTGCAGGTCAGCTTGAACAGCCTC